TGCTTAATAACAAACAAACAAACTTTATGCTACATAAAAAATATATGTATACGTCTTATATGTAAAATGATGTAGGCAATAAACATGCTTCATATTTTATTATTTGTTTCAGTGTTGAAGTTATTATTCTGTCTCTGTTGTAGAATGAGAAACGATTTACGTATTTTGTTTTCCTGATGTCAGAAGGATTTTATTTTTGAACATTTCATACGTGGCTTCCCAATTAGTAAGAAATATATTTACGGTGTTGGTCTTTCTTGATTTTGAGAAAACCATTAGTGCAGTAAAATTTCAGTTTACAATCGCCAGTTATGGATACTGAACCCTTGTAAACATTTTCAAATTCATATTTGTTGTCCCTTCTTTCTTGTATTATCAAGTTACAAGAATGAACAAATATTTACATATTGTCAGCACGACAAACACAAACGACAACTGGCCGTAATCTACCTGATATTACCATTTTCAAGATACAGGAGACAATGGTAAAAATTATACTGTTAGCATTATTTATCACGAAAATAATATCAGTAATGTAAATTCAAAAACTCATTTTAATTAAGCAAGATAAGCCGGATATGAAGGAAAGGAAAATTAATGATTTATATGTGTTTTGAAGTTGTCCGAATAGTTATTTGACATCACTCACAAGGTATTTTGAAACTTGTTAGACCATTGAGTAATACACCTGATGACATCATGCTAACATTTTAGATGCATGATACCTCATGCATGTATGACTCATTTGTTATTATAACATATGCTAATACAAAATGATATAGGGTAAATGGACGATAATATTCAAAACGAAGTATACATGGAGTACTAACCAGGGGCCTCAAGTTATATTTCGAGCCTGTTCTAATGCTGGCAAATAATGTTTTTTATTCGAGTAGTCAATCTTCCAGGAGTGCTTATAATTCACGAGTTCCACAAAATGGCCAGTTTGAAGAATCGCCACATAAGTTATACTGGAGAAAGAAGGAGAGACAGGTTGGAAAACTTCATCCCACACCTACTCTCCAATTGATCGAGTTGAAGATACTAAAGACAGCAAAATCCCCACCCTTACCTTGTCATATATATAACATAAATTTAGAATAATTTAAATCTCATAATTATTTCCTGATCCAGTTCCACTCAATATCAGAACTCATATCAACGTTTACTGTGTGTAAAACATGTTCTGAACTTCAAACTTGAGAGTTGATTGTAAAGACACTGTATATTACACTTTATCAGATTTATCAGAGCTGTAAAAAAAGAAACCGTGATACTACATCATTTGAAGATAAAATATTAATGTTGGAATTCATGCCGTTTTTTAACATGCGAAATTATGCACGGTGGTATAGTAATTTGTTTTTTTCAGGAGGAACGATTCTGAAATTGTCAGGTATCACTTAAACATTAATGGTATATATTCATATATATATAGTTTCACGGAAACGTGAACGATCCAATTGATTAACAACATTGACATGAGGTTACTGTAAGTTGCTTATGGTGAATAAAGAACCATAAAAGCATTGTACAAATTAAAATATACGTTTATACCAATTTCAAATTATGTGCTATAAATTAAGGTATCTCTTCTGAAGTTATTATTTATCCTTTCATGATGAATAATATTTTGATTGCTTATATCTTTTGTTAATTTCTAGTATAGAAAGGGTTTATAGGATGTAGATTGAAGAACATCTTGGTGCAAATAACCATTGCTCAATTAGGGTTGATGCTTTACTGCATATGGAGATAAGAAATAATGTAGATTTTGTTCCGAATTTCAGAAGAGCAAATTTTGAAGGGATGAGATAAGAATTATCTATTGTGAATTGGGCAACTGAATTAATTGGAGATACTGATAAAGTGTGGAGAACTTCTAAAAATATTTTTTTAACATTCAAGACATGCATGTTCCTTATAGAAAAAAAAAGGTGGCTATAAGTAAAACAACACTAGTTTAACTCACAAAAGGAAAAAAAGGATGAAATTAGAGAAGAATATTATAAATTTAAGAAGTTTGAATTAACTGCTATGGTGGTAGGTTTAGAGAATTGTAGAAGATGAAAAAGAGTTGGTTAAACGGGAAAGTAGGAAATCAAAAAAGGTTGGATGAAAATGTAAAAATTAATAGTAAGGGTTTCTTTAAACACACTAAGGATAAGGAAAATGTTAGGTTGTGATCAATAAACCCTTTGTGATATGATAAAGAAAGTCTCATATCCGATGATTATTAGATGGCGGAGTTATTAAATTTTACTTTTTATTCATGTTTATTAATGTAGATTTACGCAATATTACTTATCTTGAACAGTTGATAGATGGAAACAAGATCGAACAAATAGATCACATTAATTCTGAGCTTGTTAAGAAAACGTTGAGAAGTTCAAGTTGATTGGCTCTAAGTGTTTTATTTTTTATTACAAAGTTCAGTGAATGGGACGGTCTAGATGAACCAACGGGCCCCCTTATTGTTCTTATATTATATAAGTATATAATTGCTAATTATTGGATTGCTAATCTAAACACTGTTCAACTTTTCGGAATTAATCTAGATCCTGGAATCAGTGATCTCCGTTCATTGGTTTCATCTCTGCCAGAACAATATTTTTTATTCTTTGCATATTTTTTCATGTAATGTGAACGCTGAATTTCCTAAAACTTACCATTTATTTAAGATCACTTTCCATACCTGTTTTTATAAATTGACTAGCATAACATGTCTTTAGCAATCAGTCTCCAGGTGTCGCCTTTATTTAACTTAAACACTTAAGCATATTTTTAAATATACATATATTTATCCATTTCTAAAGAAATATCCCTAACACCTTTTCACATATACTCTCGCCATCCGCTACACTGTACCGGAAATGAGATGCTTACAACAGTACATAGAGAAATAGACTAAACATTTCCTGGAAAACTGGATGACCTTCATGACGTCACTAAACTCCATTCATATATATATATATATATCACTCATTCGATTACACCACCATTCCCAGTTTTCCCCTGAAGAAGAAATGTCTACCTTTCGAAAGCACTCGGGTTATAGGGATTTTATTCATTTCTATCAAGACTTCTTGAACATACGTGTTTTTCTAACATCATGAATATACGTATGTATTGATATCGAGTAACTAGTGGATGCTAGTCGATGCTATACAATATATATATATATATATATATAAATTTTTAAAATTTTAACAAATGAGAGTTTTAAATCTCTAAATGAAAATTTTGTTATTATTTTGGTCCCATGGGGATTCCTGCACTTGAGTGTGACTGCTGACGTTTTTGATTTCTCTCTCTACATAGATGCAGAGAAGTATTAGGTCGTCAAGAAATTAATGTCGCTTTTTTTAGATGAATAAACCCAAACAACTTACATATCAAAACAACACATTTATTAAATGAAATAGTCTCCATTCTTATCGATGATGCTTTCATATTATTATCAGGTTGTTAATGCCCTGATTAAAGAAATCACTTGGCTTTGAAGCAAAAAACATGTCGATGTCCTCTCTAACACCTTCCACATTTGTATACATTTTTCCACTAAGATGGTGTTGCAGAGAACGAAAGAAAGATGGTAATCTGATGGTGCCACATCTGGAAAATATTGTGGATGGGGGAGAACTTCCCAACCCAACTTCATAATCTTGTGTTGCGTCAAACGTGCCACATGTGGACGTGCATTGTCGTGGGGAAGAAGAACACCTTTCCGATTGACGAGTGAAGGGCGTTTCTGATGAAGAGCTTGATCTAAACTTCATTTACAGTTCACTGTGGATTGGGGAGTTCGAAATGAATTACTCCTTTGATGTCCCACCAAATGCAAAGCATAACTTTCTGGGATGGAGTCCAGGTTTTGGGGTCGGAAGTGGTTTTTGTCTAGAACACAGCCATTGTTTTTAGCATTTAATATTCGCATAGAGAGTCCATTTGTCATTAACGGTGACAATTCTGTCAAAAATGGTTCACGCGCATTACGCGCCAGAAGAGACGATGCAACGTTCACACGTTGGAAACGATGATTATCGGAGAGTCCGTGAGGAACCCAGACACCTTAGATGTTTACGAATTGTTTCATGAGAGACATGAAATTTCAGGCCCATTTCACGAGTGTGTTGCCTTAGGTTAGACTCAACAAACATGTTGGCCCCTGCCATCACAGTTTTTAAGGCTAAAGTCACCTGAACGAAATTTGCTGAACCATCGTTGAAACTTATGAATTTTCAAAACATTTCATTAAACTTCTTTGATATTCTTTGTGGCTACAGAGCCGTTGTTTCCCTTCTTGTATTCAAACAAACAGCGTTACATGCTGAATATGTGTCTCGTCGTGTGCCATTACTATAAGTGATTAGAGTGGACTTAACTTTACAGATTATATAGGCTACACTGACGTGGCGTTTTGGGCGGTTTGTTTAAGTATTATAGGTGATGTACAATTTTTGGGGAGTGGTTAATGAAAGTGTTCTAAAACGTGACATTAATTTCTCGACGACCTAATAGTTGCTAATCCGGTTCTTACATTTTTAATTTTATTTTTTCATATCTGCTTATTTATTTTAAGTTATTTTTAACAATGACTGAAGTATCTTGAGTATTTACATGTAATATTACTGAACAAAATAGTAAAAAAACGGGCATACCAAAACTTTAAATAGTAAACAAATAGGACATTTCTCATTCAATGCAAAGTTAGATAAACTATCCATGCGCTATATTAATAACATTTTTGCCCCATTCAGTTAAATAAAATTCGTTTGTTTTTTAGAGATTGTGAGGAACCACTGAACAAAGAAGATACAAAATAAAATAAATATATAAAATCAAATAGCAATAAGTAATAGATTGATATAATTAAACACACAAGCAAATGTTTATATCTTTATTTAACATTTCAATACTACCGTTTTTGTTTGTGTGTGTTAAATTATTTTCATCTAGTACTTAAGAAACTTATACCAGATGACGCCACAGTAAATTTGGCATGATGCATAAACAGAATGTTTTGTGTTGTTGCGAATATTTTAATAATAAAGGAGAAAGAAGTCACTTAATGGGATTTTGTTGTGATTGTGAAGCTTTAGACGAATCATTTGACAAGTAAGCTGCCTTTCTTTGTTGTTAAGACATAATCAGTTTTATTACACAAAATTAAGTACAGACTAAAAGCTTTTTACAATAAATTGAATAATGCAGTCTAACGTAACTATAAAACCTAGTCTATTCAGTATTCTCTAACGCTTGTACCAGTAGAAACTGTTTAAGAAAACTATTCTGAAACATAAAACTCGGTACTACTACTGGTGCCTTTACTTTAGTGAGACTGATAAACGACAATGACGTGCATATAAACTTTACTATTAGTAGTATTTACTACTAGTAGTAGTGGTACTAACTAATCTACACCATTACACCAAATTGATAATTGTTTGTTGTCTTCCAAAATTTGTAGTGCATACTGGAGGGATTTACACATCTTGATAAAAGATTAGAAAAACAACCTTTACACTCCAGATAAATATAAAATAATGTAATTTTATTTCAACCAATGTTTTGCCTTTGCAGCTTCATCAGGGTTAGTATACACAACTAAATATATTATATGATATTTATCTGGTGTGTAAAGATTGTTTTCCAAACTTTTATCAAAATGAAATTGATAAGTATATGAAAACTTATTGTAATGTGTTATTAAAATTAGAGGCTATGCACATTCTCACTTATTATTTGATATTTTCAATGACAGTGTGAGAATGTGTGAGGTTATGCCACATATTCTCACACTGTCATTGAAAATATCAAATAATAAGTTTCAAGTAATTAAACTGCATGTGTCTATAGGTACATCATATTCATGAATCATAATAAGTCTGATTCACTAATGGTCAAAAAGTCTGCTTAACAAAAGCAATGATTTTTATTTTTAGGCCTAGTTGTTCCTACCCATATGTATTCAGAACAGTAATTTCAAGGGAATCCATTAGAAAACATAATTTAAAACCCAAAGTAAAATTTAATTAACCTTCTGTTTTTCAAATAATTCTGAAAATTCTTCAAACTGCAGAAAATCTTTTATTGCTAAAAACACTAAGGAGTACATTTTCCCTTTTGTGAGTTCAGTATTAGGATGTCTGGTAGGAAATGGTTATGTAGTATGGGAGTAATTATACACATTTCCATTTCACTGTGGTACCTGTAGCCTGTGCATCTCCCCAAAGACACAAAGGCCCACAACACTTATTAGGGAAACACTTGGGGAAGAGTGCTTAATTAGGTTTGAATCTTTTCTGCATATCGAGATAAAACAAAATGAAATTTTAGTGTCTAGTTTTCAGTAAGCCAATTTTGAGACTGTGAGACAAAACTTCTCAATGGTGAATTGCATAATGAATTAGAAGGCTATATAGGACAGTACTGGAAAATGTCTTATAATAAACTGTTTTATTCAAATAAGCATGTTCCTAAAAAGAGGAGAAGGATATCAGGGAAGATCAACTTTAATTGACTTACTAAAGACCTAAAGGATAAAATGTGTGATCAATGTCATAAGTTTGAGAAGAATAAACATATAAAATGGAAGATTTACAGAACTATAAGAAGGCTAAGAATTATGAAGTCAAAAAAGAGCTTATGAGTAACAGGTGGTTGATAATGTTAAACAGCAAGGATTTTTCTACATAAATTAAAGGTAAGAAAAATTTTAAAAATGGGATTGGGCCCCTAAAGGATTCTAATTTCAAAGTGTGATAGTATTAAATATGTACATTTAAATATTACACATTTTAAGTATTTCACATTATATATAACCAGGGGTTTTCCTAGTTTGCAGTTGATCACAAATTGTGCACCCATAAATATAATTGTGTGGTTGAAAACTTGCCGATATAAGTAAGTTTAAGTGGATAAATATTTAAAAACACATTTAAGATTATAAAATTCCATTCTAGAGTTGATAAATAAATGTATATACCAGGATATTCTTTATTTTTTGGATCATCTGTTAGTAGGCCTGTATATTTGAGATGCAATAAGGCATCATGTATTAAAAAATGATGAAGTTAAATATAATTGTGCTGTTGAAAAAAATCCTAAGGAAAAGATTTGTACCTAACTATTTTCATAGTTCAGCTAATTTCAACACTAGTTTATTTTCAGATTGATAACATGCAAGCCTATTCAGTCGGATTCTTGCTCAAGAATAATGGATACTGTAGCTGATCGTCTGAGACTGCCATGGTGTGACGGGTATGGAGCTAGAAAACTTGATCCAGATGTTTTGCTGGCAGCTTTACTGTTATTAACAACATTATTTCTTGCTGCTCAGGGATGGGTAGCCACCCTTGTGGTTTTTGGACTGTTACCTTTCTTCTTGATTGGTATATATGTAAAATATTTAAGGGTTCGTCCACAGTCTTATTTTTTTTTAACATGGACAGTGTGTTCTTTCTTGTTTCTTCTTGGGATTTTCCAGTTTGAAGTTATTCCCTGTCTTGAAGTACTGTTTTCAGAGAACTTTGTTCTAATGTGCTTTGTGAGTGTGATGTGTGTTTGTGGCTACTTAACAATCTTAGGTCCTGGACAACCACCAAATTCTGAAACTCAAATTCAACAGAAAAGAGAAAGCAACTCTGTAAACTTATTAATGGAAGATTGCCAGTCCAAATGTAAAGTATGTTTTATCCATCAACCTCAAAGGTGTAGTCACTGTCGTATCTGTAATCACTGTGTGCTAAGACGAGATCATCATTGTGTATGGTGAGTTTTTAAATTTTTTAGATTAAAATGCAGGTAACAATGCCTTTATATATATATATATATATATATATATATGTGTGTGTGTGGGTGGGTGTGTGCGTGCACACACACACACATGTATATACCAAGTTATTAATGTGCAAGAGTTAACCTCATTATTGTAAGTTTGTTATAAACTTGTGAGGTTATTGCACTGTTTCTTTTTTCATTCTAAGTTTATTAATTGTGTGTACACATACATTGATAAAATATAGATATTGTGTGATACAGCTGATGGTAATGAATAATGTATAAACTATAGTTGTGTGTTGTTAAATACAAAATGTTTTTAAAATTTTGATGGCTGTATTCTCAAAATGTAACAGTTCACACTTGCTTACCCTACCAATGTACATTATAGGGTACTGATTTTGGGACCCCTTTAACACTTACTGATCTTAGAAGGTAATCATACGACTTTACCTAAATATTAACAAAATTTTTAAATAATGATGATATAAGGGTAATACAGAAGTGCATTTGATTGGGTGCAACCACTAAAACCTTGTTTCCAGTTATTCTGTGGCCTATTATGCAGGAAATTGTATTATTTCATCCTGTTTTTGCTGTTCAAAATTTTAACATTTAAGAATAGTTGATACATCTCTTAAAAAATATATTGTACTGAAGAATTTCCATGATTACTTGTAATTTACTTCTTCTGAAAACACTGTTAAGGCTACATATCTTAATGTAACCTTAGTTGAGGTTGACCTACTTTCTTCATGTATGTTACAAATGTTACACCCTGTGTCGTGGTCATATGTGTAATAAATATATTTTAAATAGATGAATGAAATTTATTTTTTAGCGACATTAGTAGCAATTTACATTATTTTTTTTAAAGATTTTACAGTAGTTAGGACATTCCAGTAAATTTGATAATGGTAAAGAATTTGAAAATATGTTTTTATTCATAATAATACATTTCTTACACCAACTTTGTGAACAGGGGTGCTTATCTATTCTGTCTTACTGTGTGTTTGTCAAGCTATTATGTCTCCCCTGTGTTTGTGTGTATGAGTAAGCTTTATAAAGTGAGACAGTGTAGTAATGTTCATTAGGACACAAAAACAAATGAATAGCAGAAGGCTATTTAATTCATCAAAATCACTTATAATAATATTATGATTAGATCATAGCTTATTCACCTCATGGTCTAAGAAATCATTTGAAATTTAGTGTCCATCAATTTTGTTGACTGTGAGAATGTGTAGCACTTTCTCAGTATTGACATATTTTGACAGACACACGTGTGTAGTAATGCTAAATAAATATGTTTATTTCCTAATTTGTTTCTTCGCTAAGATATCACCTTCTGTTATAAGTTATGTCACGTGCCATAATTATTTCAAGTTTCACATTGTTTTCCATTCAGAAATTTCATATGTAATTGATTCAATATGAAGTTGTATTATATGCTATACATTTTCAAAAAGTTTACCTAAGTATTGCAAAATCACAAATTTTATGCATATCACTAGACTTTTACATTACCATTTGTAGTGAGATCAAATCAGAAGAATAGATATAAGTGTTTTTGAGGATTTATTAACTAGCACAGGTCACCAATGTTTTTTTGTTTGTGTAAGTTAAAAACTCCTTTACAAATTATATACATGAAGAAATATTAAACAAAAACATTAATTTGGAATAATGGTTGACAACTTAATAAAATTTAAAAATCATGAATATTACAATTAATTTTTTACAAATTTCATATATTAACTGCTATTAAAAAGATGCAGATTAAGCACTGCTAGATCTAAATCATTGTAAACATAGCATTATTTATAGTTGATGCAAAATTAATAGTTTCAACTTTTCTATATCACATAGGATCCAACAGCAGGTTTATTCCATCAGCATTCTTGTTTTGATTGTCTGTTTTCTTTTGACAAGTTGTAAGTTGATTATCACTCCCTTCTACAGACCTCAAGGCATTCTATACCCTTGTAAATTGATTATCACTCACTTCTACAGTGCTGAGGTGTTAACACACATGAAGGGAGAGAGCTCTCTTGGCATCAACATGTGATGATACATCACATTTGACTGTAGTAAAGGTAGCTTTTTCTTTCCACTTAGTCCAGTGCAGTTTTCATACCACTAGTGTGTAAAAGTAGCATTCAAATCTATATTTTATCTTATACAACTTCCTGCTAAAGTGGCATTTTGTGTTCATCAGCTAGACGGGACCTGCTGTAGCCAAACTCCATGCAAATAACATCTTCAACAATTCTGTGCTGTAAAGTAAAATTACACCATTGTATTAAACAGTTATAGAAAAAAAAAACATGTAATCATTCTTCTACACATTTTTTTAAAATAGTTCAAACTCAAAGCTGACATTTATTGAAGAACATTTTTTATATATTTAATGTCATACATAAAAATAAAGAAAAATTATTGCAGGTTTTCATTTTGGGTTGAACATAAACATAAACATTAGTGTTAGTAAATTTTCTGAATTTTTTCAGACTATAATATGGCACTCATACATGTAGACCTTATGAAGTAAAGTGTGAATATTTTTAAACAAAACAGTGCCAATTTGGACCTTATAACTTCAAAATAAGTGTAGTTTTATTACCTTGGTTGTTAAGGTGTGATGTTATTGCCTGTATCTCATATTTCAGAAATTTTGTAGGCCAATGATCTAAACGTGTAATGAAAGCTCTTTTTCATTTGTTTTCAACTGTATTAGCAAATATGGCTTCCAGTTGAGCAGAGATCGAAACACAGTGATAAAAGCTTAGTTTGATAATATGCTGCTAGACAAAATGATTTTTGGGAAGAACTTTCACCACAATTACAGTTTTGATTTTTTTTTTCAATCTTGCTTTATTGTTTTATACTTCATGTGAAAAAAATGAGGTAGGCTTAGATCATTTTGCACTTGAATATATCAAGTTTCATTTCACTGAGAGGGTTGCTATTTGTTAGGCCATGTTTACATTATGTCTACCAGCCTAAGAAACTGCTGGAATAGGCAAAGAAAAATCACTGAAAATAAATTTATATATGAAAGAGGTTTAAAACTTATCAAATATATTAAATTATACCTTCTAATTAGCCATTTTTAAATACAGGCTTGTTAATAATTTTGGTGTAGTTAAAAAACTGTTCATTTTATGCCAATTATTGCAAACACAGTGGATCTGCTTGTAATGTTTTTGAATAATAAAAAAGTAGAATAAAAACATTTAATGGAAAGCTGTACAAGAATTTAGGAGGATATAAAAATCAGTAATTGAAATCTGTGACAAAGATAATCACTTATTTGTTTGTTAAAAGTGTATCACAATGAAATATTTCAGACTTGCCAAAACTGTGAAGTCATGCAAAAATAAGATATTTTATTTTGCAGAAGCTACATAATGTCTACAAATGTCATCTCAAGTTTCCAACAGTTTTATGCAATTGCTTTTTGAAATACAATGAAGCAAACAATACAACAGGTTCATCATATCAACCACCCAGTATTTTTGAGAGTTAAATGAATTACTTATCCTGTCTTAAGTCATTCTGTACCCTTGTAAGTTGATTATCACTTCCTTCAACAGATCTTAAGGTATTCTATACCCGTGTAAGTTGATTATCACTTCCTTCTACAGACCTCAAGGTATTCTATACCCGTGTAAGTTGATTATCACTTCCTTCTACAGACCTCAAGGTATTCTATACCCGTGTAAGTTGATTATCACTCCATTCTACAGACCTCAAAGCATTCTATACCTTTGTAAGTTGATTATCACTCCATTCTACAGACCTCAAAGCATTCTATACCATTGTAAGTTGATTATCACTCCCTTCTACAGACCTCAAGGCATTCTATGCCCTTGTAAGTTGATTATCACTTCCTTCTGCAGACTTTAAGCCATATAGCCTAAATTGATTTGAGTATACAGAAATCTTTTTTAAAAACAAGATCTGCATCTTACCTTCTAGTTTCTACCTTCCAACTTTTTGATGAAAGTTATGGTAAATATATAAAGGAGATTGTACAAGTATATTTAATTATTGAGCGGTGAGTTAGACTCGTAAATTTACGATAAGTCTGATAGATGACAACTAACTCCTCCTTCAGTTTCAGTTATGTTGCTTGTTTATTGATGTTATTTGATTAGTATTCTTGCTACACTTGGCCCAAGTTTAATCTAAATTATATGTATAAATATACATAAAAAATTTTTTTCTGCTGGGATATATATTAGTAATATGGGGTCACAACTCTTGTGTGTTTTCAAAGCTAGAACAAATTCCAATCAACATTTTTTTAAGATTAGCAAGCTCACTAGAAAATGTTCCATGAAATAGCCCTAGTAAAGATTGACCATAGTACCTTGTTACGGTTCTATATGTTCTTGTAATGAAAGCATAGAAACAGGAACACAAATACTGACATATTTATTATACTTTATTCAGTCCTTGATATCTGCATTTTATGATGTGTAGAAAAATATTATGCATGAAACATATCTTTTCTTTTGCAGGTTAAACTGTTGTATTGGAGCTAAGAATCACCGTTATTTTATTATAGGCCTATTTGCACTGATTATAGCTTGTTGCTATGGGTCTAATTTGACACTGACAACAATTTGCCATCCGAAACTGATGTGGGGAACTATATTGTTGCCAGACAACTGTAATGATGTGTATGGTGACATTCAGTAAGTATGCTAGATTAGTTCAGTTCATTTGTTGTTAAATATTATGCTTCTTTTACAGAGGAGAGGATGGAATTAACAACTGAATACTGAAACCTATCCAATGAAATCATAACCCACTTAGTAACAATTTATAATATATCATTACTATTAGGATATTAACCATCTATTTGGAAATCAGCTATTATTAAAGTAATCCCTAAGAAAAATAATAACTAATCCCAGCGGCTACAGACCCATTAGCTTGCTAAACACCCTTGGTAAGTTGAGGGAGAAATTAATCATGAACCAGTTCAACTCTTCCCGAGAAACCAATAATATTATTAACAACATACAGAATTCAGGCAGAATATGTAGACAAACCACTGACCACCTTGTAAGACTTGCCAAAACCATTTATCGCAATTTGAACAAAAAGCATACAACCATAGCTACCTTTTTAGACATCCAAGAAGCCTTTGATTCGTTATGGCACAATGGACTTCACTATAGACTAATTGATAGTCACTACTCATCTCTATTGTATGCTGGATATCCAGCTTTCTTACCGGCACAACAGCTAAAGTTGAGATCAACAATGCAACCTCCATGCCCTTCACATTTGAAGCCGATGTCCCCCCCAAAGGGTCAGTGTTAAGCCCAACATTATACAACCTCTTTGTTAATGATATCCCATTCCTTTCTTTAAACCATACACTTGCATCTCAATATGTGACATTGAAGGTCCAAATATCACTGAACGTAGTATCAGATTGGTGCAACAAGTGGCATGTAGCCCTCAACCCATCCAAATCCCAAACTATATAGGCTTTTTTTAGGAAAATATATAAAAGAAGGAAAAAAGCTTCATAATCTCCAGTTAACACTTAACAATTCATGCACTGATCAGGTAGAATATTCGGTGCCTGATCAGTAAAAGTGGGTTTTCTTGTAAGATCTCCACCATAAGAAGGACCGCTTCACTTCATATTCTATATTCAAGATTTAAATTATATTTTCATTTATTAATTCAACCAAAGCTATTTAATTTTTTGCCATCAATTTTAATGAATTAAAGCAAATTTAAACGTTACTATCTTTGCTAGTTTTAGATGTATTCGTCCTCCATCAAGAATTAATTAATCAATTGCTTCAGACCCTAATTATTGCTTTTATTAATACAACTCATGTCAACTTTGAACTGGATATCCTTGATACAGTCTTGGTTCCTTAAATATATGTGGGGCAAATAGAAAATTATAGTTTCTGACCACCCCTGGTTACCTTTTAAGCCCCTTTTAGACCTAAAAGTTTTCAAACCAAAATACCTACCAAGGAATTTTACATGTACACACTGCTTAATAGGCATGATAGGCTATACATACTATATACATCAGCACAGTGAGCACATGTTTTCAAGCTAAACATTCATTGCATGGGCATTCATAATGATGGCATTTGTAGACTGTACATGGCTGTTGAGTGTTAATAAATTTGGGAAAGTCCATTCATGGTTTGTCATAAGTTCTGCTAGGTTAAGAAATGCTTAGATCAATTTATGTGGAATCAAACTTTTAATGGCTCTTGTTTTTAAGGGGTCATACAGGCTGCCTAGCAGACCTGCTGGTATTTTTTGGAGGCCATTGGCTCCTTGGCCCCTGCTAATTTTGAGCCCTGACTAGATTGAAGAATGGATCATACAAAATCTACTACCTAATCAATGCTAAAGATATATTATTCTGAGAATTGATTTGCTGTAAATGTAATAAAGAAAATTATTTATTTTTTTCTGCTGCAATGTGCTCTTTATGGTGTGTCTAAGAAACAATGGAAGATTTTCTTTTATTTCACTTGGGAAAAAGAGGCCATTATTTGGCCCCAAATAATGCACCCAGATCAACCCTTTACGTACTGTAGCCATTTTGATCTTATCGTGAGGGCAAAATCACATTTGCGAATCAAATAAATTACAGAGAACTTATCTTTTTATTGGATTTCAGATTTTATTTTTGTAAATAGTAGTATAACATTCAATTATTTGTACAAAATTGTATTATTTAATGAAGTTTAAAGAGGAATTTAATGAAAAAAATCCTAAAATACATTTTAGACTGTAAATAAGTGCCCTCTAAGAAGAAAATTTTTTTTCAAAAATATTTCCTTCCACTTCAGCACTGGTCCTGCTATCTATGATTGGTATCTAAACCTTTTTCTAGTCTGTTTTCTTTATAAAACAGCATCTGGGCGTGTTAAACCTCAGTTGTAAAACTTTTAGCCAATCTTAGTCGAAGGTGTCAATTTCAGTACCATGTTATTCCAATCGCTGTATTTCACATTTGACAAATCATAGGATGATAAGGAAAGCACGTGACGAAACTTTGTTCTCTGGATTTTACAGTATGAATGTGGGTGGTGCTTATTATAGTAACTGCCATTTTATGTAGAGGTTGTATTTAGTACTGGCCAATAATGC